AACAAGTCGTTTGCACATTTTTATAAGTCATATAAGTAACGTTCAAAAATTTGGCGACTCATTCTCGGGCGAGGGGGGGGGTATAATTACCATTTCAGGAAATTTTTCTCTTCTATGAATTGTAAAATTAAAATGTAGAATTATTTTTATAGTTTAATAATAGAAATTATCAAAAACTGTCAGAGTGCTTGTACTGAACAACACTTACAGATTGAACAGGCACACATCGCTGGTCATTTGCGGGCAAAACGGAGGCTCGACACATCGGCAGCGCATCCATAGCTGGAGCGGTCTATGTCAGCATTTCAATCCACAGTGCCCAATTCATGGACGCCGGGCCCTTCTGGAAACGTACGCTCGCGAGAAGTTTATCGAGGTAGTCTTGGCGTCTTTGACATGCTTTGGTGCTTCGCTGTACACTATGCGATTTGCAATTTGAAGTCATGGATAACCTGTGAGGAAGCTCCTCTTAGCGGAAACTTCATTGATTTTTTGCGTGTATGCTACTCAACACTTCGATGCTATCACATTTTCATTAAGGCTAGCCAAGAACTGAAGCAGGCACTAGCAGAGGAAGAAAGACGAAATGAGCAGAAACAAAATACCTGTTTGCGAAGATTCATCCGGAAAACATGCTTGTACAGAAAAGCTGAGTATTCGCTTTTTTGTTTTGGCCCGAAAAATCCGTTTCGGATCAGGTAAGTACTTGCTTTAGCTTACTCATAGACCAATTGTTTCTGCTTTACAGATGCCTGCAGCTGACCCAGAAGAAGTGGTTCGATTACTCTATTCTGGCATTTATCGGAATTAACTGTATAACACTTGCTATGGAGCGGCCTTCGATTCCTCCCCACAGTTTCGAACGAAAATTTCTTACCATTTCTGGATATGTGTTTACACTGATATTCACTATTGAGATGGCAATGAAGGTTCGCGGTTTCAAATACGAATAGTCTTGAAGAATGATATATTCAGGTCATTGCCAATGGGTGCGTGCTCGGTCGAGGTGCTTATTTTAAAGACGGCTGGAATATTCTAGACGGGACACTAGTAATTATATCTCTAATCAATGTTCTTTTTGAGCTCTTTGCAACTGGAGGTGAGCAGAAATTTTGCAGGATGATTAGGAACATAAGATATCTTGCTGATTTTATCCTTGCATTCTGTAAACGTCTGGCTGAGCAAAAAAAAAAAA